ATTTTTCCAAAAACCCGACGTCGGATTTTTGAAAAAACCGACGTCGTATCTCATTTTTTTTTAAAAAAATATATTGATACGTACTAAATTTTTTGAAAAAAGTTTATGTACGGGAAAGAGATGGTGAGTAAACGAGTGTAAATTGTCGTTCCGCAAGGGATTGGGACTATGACACGTACTTGAGTGACAACTAAAATTCTAGGCACCAAAGTATTGGAACCCACAAGAATCCAAACAAATTCAAATTCATGGCTGGGTAATGTCAACAATTAAAGGCTAAAAATCTAGTTAAGACAATGCAATTTAAACACAAGTAAACACAATGATAAAAGATGGGCTCAAATTAGGGGATATTGCCTTCTAGATGCTTTAACAACTTAGGGATTAGGGGAGAACATCAACCAAGGGAACACAAGGGCAAAGCACATAAAAATCCTAGCTTAAAGCCATTTTCATAAGCTAAAGAACAAGGATTAGAGCAAGGATTGCCCCACTTTCATGGTGTATCAATTCCTAGCTCTTAAAGCACATAAGCATTTAGGCCCCCAATTCTTCCCTATTTTCATAGAAAGAAAATGGGTTTAGAGAAAGGAGAGGCTTAAGTTCTTCCCCCAACTTTCATTGTGGAGAAAAACTACCCAAAAGCAAGTTAATAAGAGCTACGTACCAAATATTAACAAGATTCAATATAAATCCTTCACAAACAAATGAACCCTAGGTTAGATATTTTCCCCCTTATGCAATAATCACCTATTTAGCATCTAGGTTGGCAATATCACCCTAATCCGAGCCCAAAAACAGACTACTCACACTTCATAAGCATAAATAACAACAAAGCACAAGAAAATATCATAAACATTGCACAAAAGCTTTAAAAGAAGAGTAAGAAGCTTCTCTATTGAAGATGAAGATTTTGTGGTTGAATCCCACTCCAATCCGCGTTTACAAGCTTGCTAGATGAGTTAGAGATGTAATACTAGACTAATCTAAGCTAAGGAAGTCTAAGGAAATGAAGAGAAATGAGTTCTAGCTATTTAGGGTTCTCCCATCCCCCAAAAATCCAAGAAAAACGCATAAATATTAACAGAGCACAGTGATACTGCCTTAGGGACAGCCATCCCTGAGGCAGTACAATTTATTCTTGGTTCACTAGAAAGGGCGTACGGGCATGCGTACGAGCGTACAGCAGGGCGTACGCCACCTGCTTCTTTTTTGAGATCTTGGACGGGCTGACGGATGGGCGTACGGGAGGCAGTACGATGCTCCTAAAATTCCTAAATGCATTCCAAACTCTTTGGTTGATCTCTTGGTCCCTAAATTGCTCGTATTTTCCCACAAATCATTGAATTCCTCACTTGTTGTGAATGATTGCACCTTGAAATAAAACCAACATAACTTAGTCACAATTCACACAAGTTTTTAGGCAATTCACAAATAAAAAGGGTTCAAGAAATGGGTAAAAATATAGACAAAAATGCACTTATCAGCATCCTCCACGTCGGACCTGCTACGCTCGTTGCCTTACAATCAAGGTTGCCGGAGAAAGCTCGTCGCCATACAGTCGTGGTCACTGGAGATAGCTCGTCGACACTCCAAGCTAGAAGCTCGCTCGTCAACAAAGAACATAGATCTACATCGAATCGTTGTTGTCCAAGACGCAAGTTGTTGTTGCTGGTGGATGCTGGTACACCGTGACGAAGAAGACGGCGTACTGTAGGAACGGATGAAGAAGACCATGGTGAAAGAAAGAATGAAGAACGAAGATGCTAGCTTCTTTTTCTTTTCTGTTTTATGCTTCTGAGAAAGGGATGAAGGAGACGAGAGAGAGAGAGTGTGTGCTTTGAGATGTCGAGATCTAGATCTGTATGCGTTAAATATGAAAAACATTTTTTTTAAAATTTTAATTAAAAAATACAACATCGGTCTTTTTGCATAACCGACATCGTATGTCTTTAATTTATTTTTAAAAAAATTTATTTCAAACTTACGATGTCGGTTCTAGGGAGAACCGACGTCGTATGTCTTTTATTTATTTTTAAATAAATTATTTATAATCTACGACGTCGGTCTTTTTGCATAACCGACGTCGTATGTGTTAATATTTAAAAAAAATATTTATGACCTCGGTTTTTCTAGAGAACCGACGTCGTAACTAATATAAATTACTTTTACTTTATTTTATTGACATATAACGTCAGTCTTTCAAAAAACGACGTTAATTAGGCGACGTAATATCCTTTTTCTGTAGTAGTGGGGATAGTTGTATAATTGCAAGCATCGCAGCTCAATTGTTGAATATTTTAAATAATATTCTGAGTAAGATTATATAAACTTGATTCAACTAGTCGTGAAAGTTGGTTGATTTGTTCTTGTTAATTGTGTTAAAATTAACTTGATCAAAAATTCCAAATTACACTAGTATGGAATTTATTTGAGACAAAAAATGATTTGTTGGATAGTGCTTTCATAGCACTAACGGAGAGTGCAAGATAAAATTAGCACTGTATTGCTAATTAACTTAGCACTAGTTAAGTGCTATTTGAAAGCACTAATAGTAGTGTTTAATAGCACGAATGATAGTGCTTGATAGCACTAACGAAAGGATGCTTGGCTAATTTTATAATTAGCTAATAAGCATTGGAATTATAAATTAAGCAACTATGTGTTGCTGTGAGTTTATAAAATTTAAAGCAATAGAATTTTGCTTTGGAATCGGCGCGTTAGTTTGGCAGCAATGATTCATGCTTGGTAAAGCATGATTCGTGCCTCATTCCTAAGCATTGATTCGTGCTTCAACTTCGGAAGCATTGATTCATGGTCTTGGCCTTTCGGTCAAATTCCGAATGGATTCGTGAGGGCTAATCTGTTAGCACCCACAAGATGTGTTAACGTGTAACACATGTTTATTCTTTATAAGAATAAAGAGAAAAACTAAATTAATCGTGGATTAATGCGGTTACGAACGATCAATGTAGTGAATATGAAACACCTATTGGTGATTTCTACGCAAGCGTTGGTATTGTACTCGAGTGTACGACACGGTATTCACCTCAATCGAATGTTGTTGCCAAACATAAATATCAAGACGTTGATAAGTTCGGGTCCACCTCAAGGTATGTGGGGTGAGACAATACTTTGGACAAGTAAGTACCTTTTTAATAAGGTTACCCGCATGAAATTCTTACGAATTGTGGGTACGTAGGAAGTTTTCCTACTAATGCCTTAAATGTGGGAGTGTCTTGCCAAAGGTGTGTATTGGTTCTTAGTACACGAGTCCTATAGTTTAGATGTACATAAGAACACGGTAAATTGAATTAAGAAGTCTATCGCTCTTTAGAAGATGCATTTCTGTGAAGGTTCAATAAAAGGACCTAGCACGATGAAATAAACTTTCGACGTAGCTATGGTAGAAGGGTATGAAAGAGAACACGAGCTCAAAGCTAAACGTAGCAAGAGAGCTAGGATTGTAAAATCCCTTTGTCCAGATTTTCTGACGTACATGCTAGAATGTGACGCGCATATTCTAACTTGTTTACTAGAAAATAAATTGGATTTTCTTACATGGTTGTTGGAAAACGAGCCTCGAACGTATGTAGAAGTGTTGATTTCTACATGTGGACCAACCCGAGAGAGGCTACCGAGGTGAAGTAGATTTTATATTAAAGAATCATACTTGGAACTGGTTGTTCTTCCCCCGGGTTGTAAAACCTCTGGATCCTAAGTGGATCACTAGTCAGAAGATAAAACCGGTTGGTTATATTGAAGTAAAATGGTCGGGCTTGTAATTGTAGATTACATGCAACGCGAGTGCCACGGTCACTTCGATATATATTCTGTTGTGATGAGAATGAAATCCATTAGGATGACACTCGCCATAGCTGTAACACCCCGTGTTATGGCCCATAAACCAATTAATTAATTACCCAGAAAGAAAGATTAAAATCTCATTAATTAGGAAAGGCCCACCATAAGCCCATGGACCCTTATCCCTAAATCCAACCCTTAGTCCCATAGGAAATAGAAGTAGCCAACTATATAAATAGGAACATAAGAGGCACCTAGAACCCACACCACAATAATCTATCACCACACAAGAAGTTCCAAGAATTCCCCTAGGAGAAATCAAGAAAGGAGGAATCTTAAAGAAAGACCCTTCATAGTCAAGGAAATTAATTAAGGCTAAGAGGTAACCCATGTCTCAACAAAACCTATTTTTCTTCGCTATAATCTCCTTCCTTGGCCTCCGTCTATATGCTTGTGTCTTGATTAATTCCTCTATGTTATTTGTGATATATTCTTGATGATTGATAAGATGATTTATGTGTGTGAGAGTTATGAGATACTTGAGGTATGCTCGTGACTTTGGACTACACACTAGTACAAAATTGCAGATAGGCTACCATTGTAAAAGGCAATAGGCGACCATTGTACAATGGTTGCCTATGAGAGGCTCGCGGAAAGCCATGGACTTTACGCGACCATTGTACAATGGTCGCGCATTGTCAGTAATACGCAACCGTTCTTGACAAAGAATGGTCGCGTATTGTTTTTTATTTTTTTATTCAAATGTAATACGCGACCATTCTTGAATTGAAATGGTCGCGTATTGTTTTTTTTTTTTTTAAATCAACTTTCCGCGACCATTCTTCAACAAAGAATGGTCGCGGATACTATTTTAAAAAATAAAAAAATAATTTAAAAAATAATTTTAAAACTATATTTATTTTGCACCATGCAATTCTTCACACAACCATTATGAAAGTAAAAAACAATAAATGAAATTACATATTTGCAATTCTAAATTAAAAATAATTGAAAACTACAAAAGAAAAGAATAAAATTACAACAATATGAGATAACTCAAAAATGCAAATAAAATTTTAAATAAATAAATAAATAACAAATGAAGCAGTGACATAAAATCCTTACAAAGTGTGTTGGCCTAGATGGAGGTATGGGACTAATGTGTTTATTCTATTTACAAGAAGACTTCATGCAACTTACAGCAATCTACTGAATAACAAAGACTAGCATGCACATGTTTATCTTTGCACTACAGCTTTGCTTGGGTACTTCCAGATCATAATACAGAATATTGACACGGCTACTATTACATATATGCTGACAGCATATAATCTTGAGAAGCTGAGCCCACAGAGAACATGCGATACAAGCGATGAGAAAGAGAACCCATTCTTTGAGAGGTGATGATTACTGCCCTGTTTGGACAGTAACCGAACTGTTGTATCATGTTCTTGAGTGGTTTCCATGGTGCTTGCACTGTGCATCTCATCCTTATCAGTGCTTGAAGTGCATTCATGGGCCTGCATGGAATATGACAGATTTTACCAGGATGAAAGAAATTTGTTTTCTATTTCCAGAAAAATATATGCCTACAGAACACATTATGAGAAGTTCTTAGCAAATAAGCAAACACCCACGAGTTAAACGCCATGTCTTCATTTGGAATTCCTCAAGTTTTAAGAACAATTTCAAAAGCAGTACACAAAACAAAACTGATTTAGAAAGCTGACATTTAATCTTACCTCCCCTATTACAGCTCTTCTTCCATGTCCTATGCCTGCTTGTCCAAAACTAACCGACACAGTTACTTGTTCCATCTGCAAAATTCTCTTTGCAGCACTTACCTGGCTCACATTGTGCTATGAGCTTGCTTGGTTAAATAGCTGAGGCATCCAAACCTTTGTGCCAGTTTCACCATCTACTGTAGTGCGGTGGTTGGTGGCACTATTATCCCCATATGATTCTTCTGTTAAACAAATTTAACATAAGATTAATCAATAGGGTTAAGATTGGCAAAACCCTCTCTTCAATGGAATGATCATAAAGATCAGTTTCATGCTATCCATCTGAGCAGTAGGGATTACCTGATGCCTTAGTTTTGAAGGATGTGAGAGATGCTTGAACCTGCAAAGAACATGATATCAAGGGAAAAGGCAGAGGGTGGTCCATCTCAGGGAATTGGATTCATTTATAGATAAAAGTTCAAAAGGCAAGCCTAAGGAAAGATTCAGCCCTAAGCTTACCTCTGCCACGAGTGATTGTGCTTTATGCACTTCACTGCCAAAACTTCCTGCCTCTGCCATATTAGCAGAACTAACAGAAATTGGTTCCCGTTCCAACACAAAATGAATTCTCCTTGGGGCAGTGCCTCGGGTGATAATGTTTCCTGAAGTTGGTCGATTTTGTCGTTGACGCTTCCGAATCCTTAACCCAGACCCGCCTGCAACATCACTTGCATGGCCAACAGGATTTGTATGGGTGTGTGTATCTTCTGTATGCAATATGGAGTCTGGATCATTAGGTGACACTTGAGTCTGAAAGGGCGCAGGAGATGTTTGCTCCTGCAAGAAGTCCATGCCCATAAGGTTAATACAAGCATTAGAATAAGGGAGCAAAAAATTCAAATTTAGTTTTAGAAGCAAATCAATGCAATTGTGTTAGAAGTACCTTAAAGCTAACAGCAGATTGCAGCCAAGAAAAACAGAGTGATACAGAATACTAAAAAAGGTATGATAAGCAATAGATGTCAAATGACTCAAATTACCAATAGTGTGTCCTGAAGAATCAAGCGTTCAGAAGACAAGTTATTCTGCCATGTTCAGAAGACAACACCATTTTCAATGTCCTCAGCAAGTCCTTTCTCTAGTGGTTCAGGAATCTACAGAATTCCAAGTGCAACAAGTGAAGTGGGAACTTAAGTTTTCAACAAGGCACCTCCAAAGACTGTTACATTTTACCCTCTATATAAGAGACTTATGAGCCTTTCTAGTGGAAGACATATATTGCACAGAAGCACTTTGCAATGGTTCTTGATCAAATCTTCTTCTGGCATATATCCTTCCTTTCTTTCATTACTATTTTACTCCTTCCAGTTTACCATAATTTTACCATCATACAGTTTTTTTCTGTTAAGATTGAATATAAAACAATTTAGAACATAATTATACAAATATGGAAATGATATAAAAAAGCAACATGAAATTAGTGATTTTGTCAACTTTAGGTCTATCATAAATGCACATTACTACATGAGTTTCTTTTCAGCAACCGCATCAGAAGCTAAAGAACTCTGACCAGGGAGAAACTCCAATTCCTTTTTTGGAGAGGGGAGATTGATGCATCTCCCCATGCCATAATTGTTGACTTCAAAAAGAATGCTTCTCCCATCGAACAATACATGTATCATGATATCAAATCCTCATCATTAAAGAAAAACGCCTTTTTGGTTGTAACTAGTAAATGTAAAACACACATATATATTACCTAGCTTAGCCAAAGATTATTGAGTAATGAAGATCACTCAGCTCGCTAGCTTACAATTATATATAGTACAGAGAAATTCTTGAATTGAGTGAAGCAGATCAGATCATATCAACGTGCTGACACTTCAGTTCTGCGGCCCTCATATATATGCATGCATAAGATTTCAAGAATTTATAACAATTGAAAGAAGTTTTAGAATATGGTTGTTTTGTGGTGTTCAAAGAACGAAAAAAAGAGGTGATTTCACAGAGTAAAAATTAAATGAACACATACACCTGCAGAACTAATATAATCAAGATAAGAACGAATGCATGAATTCGATCACCTATGGCTCTGGCGTGGAGGTGTTGCAACTTAATTTTAGGATCATATGTTAGCAACAGTTATGAAATTTGAAGCACATACATGCAGTAAATTAAGCTGCTCTGCTCAAATCTGGTTTGCATCAAAATTGATGTAATTAAAGTTTGAAATCTATCCAGTACGTATATATAATATTTACTAATAATATTTTCAGCAAATTAATTAAATTGACACCTCAACTTAACCAAGTGATTTGGTGATGCCTGCATGTATAATTCTGTGCATCATATCCATCAGCAAGCTAAGCTAGCTTCTGTATCTCTTCCTGCCATGGTACCAAATACTGTGAGAACTCTTTCCTTTAACTTATAAATCACAGGTATGGTATGCTGATTAAAGAAGTTACAAGTAGTGGCATAAATGATGAATTGAAGCATACCAGAAGGATAATCAAGTACCTGAACAGTTCTTCAGGAACACCGCCGCCGAAATTCCTCTCCTCTCCATCAATCCGGAGGTTGATGATGAAGCCGCAACCAACGCCGCCATCTGCAAGTGGTCTTGTGCTACGAAAGGGAGTCAGAGATGAGTATTAAGGGTTTTATGGTCTCTGAATGATCGAGTTAGATCTGAGCGCAACCCACTTCTAGATCTGAGAAAGAAACAAAACGAAAAACAGAGAGAAACCTCTGAGCTTTCTTCTTCTTCTTCTTCTTCGATGGAGCGGCGGTCGTGGGTGTCTGAAGCAGGGGCGGAGACGTCGGCTATGGCGGTGGCAGCAGCGGTGGCGTCGGCAGATCAGCGGTGGAGGTAGTGGCTGCGTCGAGGTTTTCACGGTAGATCGGCAGGTCGGAGCAGATCGGCAGGTCAGAGCAGACGGTGTTGGGTATGAGAGGATGAGCAGACGCGGCGTTGGGTATGAGAGGATGAGCATATCAGATCTGATGGAGTGATGGGTAGATTAGGGTTAATATTAGGCAACCATTTCTATTAAAAATGGTTGTCTATTATAAAACAAGTTCTATTTTAAGGTAACTATTTCTATTAGAAATGGTTGCCTATTATAAATTAATTTTTTTTAAATAAATACAAAATACAATGGGCAACCATTACAACTAATAATGGTGGCGGATTATTGATCACTTATTTACAAAATTACCACTGCGAATTTTTGGGCTAAGATTAGGCAACCATTCTTTCAACAATGGTGGCCTATGATCAATCTTCTATGTTCAATTTTGTACTAGTGACACTATGTGGGATATCTAGCTGTACTTGGAAATTATATCACAAATATCAAAGGACGCTAAGTCCATTAAAGGCTATGTGTTTACGTAGGCCAGTGCAGCTGGTCGTATGCAAATTCTTGAAACGATTTGTGATAGCTAAGATCCATGACGGGATCAAAGCTGAGAGCCTTACACTCGTATTGCGAGCGAGTAGGCCGAATGGTCATGCCATTGTTTGGGAATGTTCCTAGAGGTAAACTCGTACCTCCAATTTCTGTGCGTTGCGATAATCAAGCCAAAATTGGTTAAGTATAGAGTTAAATGTGGAATGGTAGGTCTAGACTTATAAGTCATAGACATAATACTATTAAACAATTTCTCACAACATGGGTTATCTCTATTGACTATGTGATGTCAAAAGATAACGTAGCGGACGCTAACTCGCTAACCCGAGGGTAAGCAAATGGTTGTTGAGAAGTTGGAACGAGGAATGGGTCTAAAGCCCTTGGACTAAAAGTTCTATAGTGGATACCCAACCTAGCTGGGACCTAGGTTCAAAGGGCAACTAAATTGTGGAACAGAGCGTGTCACTGTGGGGTCTCGGACTCCCTACCACTCCTCGTTAGAAATAGTGACTCCCGCACGAGGCTAGCACATTGATGCTTTAATGATTCGAATGTCGGTTGACATGTGAGAGTATGTGGGATACTCGAGAAAGAATCACCTATGTGAGAGAGAAGTGAGGGTCGCTTCAAAGGAGAATTGATGGGCACAATTCTTCACAAACTGTTGCAGAACCAGTAAGGTGACCCACGACCAAAATGGGCACACTCATGAAAACATAGCATGGTTGGGAGGTTCCTGTGTGAGATATGTCATCGTCTACACAAACGGCAGTCGGTTCAAAGACATCGCGTTCTATCGTAAAGCCAGTAGAGTAAACATATCTTCACAAGGGAAGGTTCAAAGGGTAACACCTACCTATCCTATGCAGGGATCGACCGTTGAACACAATTGTTTCCAATTTCAAAATACCCTGAAAATCAATTTTTCATTTATGTGGGGGATTGTTGGAAAAATAGCATTAAAAAGGCATTTTAAGTGGTTATTTTGTGGTATAATTATCAATGGGGTCCACTTCCGATTTTGGTCGGGTAAAAGTGGATTCGAATTCTTCGTAGTGAGACGAAGAGATTGATATATTATACTCTCAAAACGGATAATAGGTGAATGGGATATTTATTCTCAAAGTAGACCCATTGAATTGGAAAAATGAAAGGAAAAAGTGAGTTTTTGTCCCATATTGGTTTGGGAAGATGATTTGCCCCACTATTTATTCAAGAGTCTTTTAAAGACTTATTGAATGTATAGCATAAAGGCTCTTTCACGCGCGCAGGGGAGGGGGATGGAGCGGCGAAAAGGCTTGACTCAAACCTAAGCTCGTGTGTGCCGGCACTTGTATCCAAAAGTTGGCCTTGGCTGAAAGTTCGACCTCCTTCGACCTTGGGAGGCCAAGGTGAAAGTTTCATTGGCTGAGATTGGCATCCTTCACCTCCTATATAAGAGTGTTGTTGGAGCAGAGGCAGAAAACTCTTCTCCTACCCCATTTTTGAAGTTGTGTTGTGTTCTGCCCGTGCTCTAGTTCGCCGGGTTCGTTCGTTTGGGTTCTCAAGTCGAACCGTAGTACGATTTATCCTGGGAAGCCTAGGGCACAATGCTCCTGGCACTTTTGGGAGGTGTCAAAACCGTTGTCTATGTACGTGACTTTTAACAACACCGGTTTCAACAACACACAATAGACAACGGTTAAAAAACCATTGTCTTTTCTATAAAACACAACGGTTAAAAACCGTTGTCTATGTTCGTGACTTTTAACAACACCAGTTTCAACAACAGTAAATAGACAACCGTTGTCGTTTCTAGAAAAGACAACGGTTAAAAACCGTTGTCTATGTGCGTGACTTTTAACAACACCGGTTTCAACAACAGTAAATAGACAACGGTTAAAAAATTGTTGTCATTTCTAGAAAAGACAACGGTTTAAAACCGTTGTCTATGTGCGTGACTTTTAACAACACCGATTTCAACAACACTTAATAGACAATGGTTAAAAAACCGTTGTCGTATCTAAAAAAGACAACGGTTAAAAACCGTTGTCTATGCGCGGGACTTACAACAACACCGGCTTCAACAACAGAAATTTTACCCCTACGACAACGGTTATTAACCGTTGTCTATGTGCATTTTTCTTGTAGTGGCACTTCACCTGACTCGTACTTACCTTCTTTCTTCTCCTTCTTTCGTGTTAAATCCTCTCTCATTATTTGATATAGTCGCTGGATTGGAATTATAATCTAAGGATTATAAGTTCCAATTTTTGGTTGATATATATTAGTATATCTTTTTCGTAGATATATATGTATATATAACCTTTGGGTCCGTTTTATATATATTTGAGTATATATATATATATATATATATATATATATATATATATATATATATATATATATATATATATATTTCGGATATATATCAAATAGTATTTTATATATTTTCGTATGTATATAAAAATACTCTGATATTAAATCGACGTTTGGTTCATTATCACCAACACTAGTGGCTAGCTTTGATGGCAGAAATACAATGCATATGTGTCAAATTATCGTTAGAAGATTAAACTTAACCTATTGAATAATTTAACCCATGAATTTATAAGTTTATTTCTTTCAATCTAATTTTTCAATGTAAAACCCTCTCAACTGTGTTTGTTACATGTATTTTTTCCCCATGGATTCAAGAGAAATTGTTTAAAAGAAAACAAAAATTACAAAAGCACAAGTAAAGAAACATCCACAATGTCAACGAATAGAAGCCCGTTAGACCCTTTGAATGACTCATAAACATGCAAGCCAGATCGAGTGAGAGTGACCATGATGTGTCCTCAATCATCAGAAATTTAATATTTGCTTCTATATATTTATTTGAACAGTTCTAGTTTTAGTTCCACACAGCCGGTAAGATCTCTTATAACTTCAAGCAAGTAACAATCAGAATCTCTACCATTATTACTAGCATACTTCACTCTATTTACTATTGCCAAAGAGTCACTTTCTATCAAGTGATAGTAATATGTTTTTCAGGCACCAAAAACTATGAGAATGCACTAGCTATACATATATGGTTCATCATCTCCCCTTCTTGAGCATCCATAATAGTCTAGGTTTTTTATGATTTTTTATGTGCTAAATAGGAGTAAGAAGAGGGAGGAAAAAAAAAAAAAAAAAAAGAAGAGTCTGACACGGAATTAGAAAAAAAAAAAAATTAGCAGTACCTAACTCACCAACGGGCGCGTGAGTACGTCTCCAGCACATGGAGATAGACGGCCAACTTTGTTTCCCTTTTCCAAATGTGGACCCCACAACAATCTATTAATTTGCAAGAGTTAACTTTTCCCAAAAACCCCAACCTACATCAACAAAAAATCATACCCTTTTTTCTGCACTATTCCAAAAATCCACCAAAATTCACTTATGTGGTTTCTCTAACCACTCTCACAACAAACCTAATACGTACTCAAGTGCAATCTCCTATTGACAGAATAAAGCTTTATCAAAGGCAAATTAAAGCAATAAAGTTACTGCAACTTTATTGGCAACCTCTCTCCTGTTTATCATAAACATACAATAAGAAATAAATGTACAATCTCACCTTTACTTTTACCCCATCCTAAATAAACCGCATTAGAAGAATTTTATGCAACAAATTTAATTAAATCGATCTTAAATATTAACCACAATTAAACTCCTTATATGATAATTATGTTCCAGACTTCCAGTCACTCATCCACCCTTCCAAACAAACCAAATATATATATCTTCAATCTGCTATTAGAGCACACAAAATAAGCTGTGATAGCAAATTCATGAGTTATACAAAATATGGGGATACTATGTTTGATTAAACTGTCTAACAGTTCCATATATATGTGTATATATATATAGTCAGGTTCTTGTACGGATAGGGCTTCTCGTGCAGCCGTACAGATCGCTATTAGGTATACATAAATGCACCACAAAATATTTGAAAATGCACTTTTGGTGTATGATGCGGTGTAATGATTTTCGAACACTTTGTGGTGCTTTTAGCGTACCTAATGATCAATCCTCACCAGCCATACCGGAAGCATTATTCGCATTTAAACCAGTATATATATATATATACATAGCAAGCTAAGACAATACGTAAAAGATGGGCATTGTTATCAAGAAAACAAGAAGAGTGGAGCGGTGGAGTTGCAGAGAAGTGAGAGAAACTCCATTGGAGGCGTAATAGTAGAAGTAAGGATAGCTATAGTTGATCTTCCCCAATCCTACGCCGGCAGCTGGCGTTTCTGTGGCCGGAGAAGAGCCCAAGTAGTTCGAAGGAGAAGGCGGAGTAGTAGCGCCATCCCACGAAATGTACGATGACGGTGGTAGAGGTGGTGCTGGAGGCGGATGCCCATATGAAATCAGCGGCGGCGGCGGCGGCTCTGAAACGACTTCCAGAGGCGGTGGAGACGAGCATATCATGGGACATGTAGCGCAGTCGCTAATGCAGACCAAACCGGATTGAGATTTCACTCTGGGAACCATTATGCCAAGTAAGAAACAACACAACCAGTTCAGTGTGAAGAATGAAAAATTTGTGGATTTTAGAACTTCCATGGATTTGGAAAAGACTTTTCTTGAGGTTCTTTTGGGCAAGAAGACTTTGTGATCTCTGCTTTTTATTGAGACTTTGTCATCACCTCGAGGCTTGTGCTTTTGGCTCTGCTATTTCAAAAAGTTTGATTTTTGTGCTTTCTTTTCTGAAGAAAATTGGATGGTTTTGTTCCCTTTTGATTATCTGCTGTAATGCACTCTACTTTTTCTTCAAATTTGTGATAGATTTCACTATAAATATCATTATATATAGTTTTTTTTTTTTTTGCTAATTGAATCTTATTGTATGATATGATATGTTTAATTTGATGGCCGGAGTTTGATTTATTAAACTTAATTACACTCTCTTTGTATTATATGATTCAGGTAATTGAGTCAAGATTTGTGATATAGTATAAGTCTAGTAAACAAGTTGAAAAGGTAGGTAAAAAAAATTTTCAACTAGCAACTGATTAATAATATGAGTATTATTAATTATCTAATAAGCTCTAGTACGACTAAATGAGAGACTATACATTTTTTGTTTTGAAAAGAAAAAAAAAAAAAAAAGAGTTGGATTTGGTTGATATACAGTATATTAGCAATGCGGGGAGTAGCATACTAAAAATACACTAATGAAGTCGATTTGGCGTCCCATGGCTAGATACTGAAGTCAGTCATGGCATGCATTGATCATTGATGTGATGGTTAGTGAAGTGGCGGCAAAATTAACTTGTTTAATTATTGCGCTCAATCCGATAGTATATGACCGAGAAGAATTGACATGTACGTGATATCTAAGATATCGAGCCAATAGAATTGCCCTATAACAACATCAATTTATATATGAAGAAATAAGAAATTTGTCATATATTTTGCAAGTATACATTTTTTTTCTATATTATAAAAGGAGATGATGGGGTTATAGGGCAACCCTACTTGCCCTACATTGTCTACTTCCCAACCTTGATATTAGTAGACTTCCCTACCTTGATATTATTAGATTTTCCAACCTCAATATTAGTAGACTTCCTAACCTCTGGCTTAATAGATTTCCTGACCACACTATTAGACAGGTTAACTCTAACGTCACTTCACCAACTGTCATATTAATAGTTTACACGTGTCATGATCAACTTAAGTGCCCAATTGATGGATGCCATGTCAGCTCTATCAGTAACTTGTCATCATTATGTCTACTTGTCACTTAGTATAAATAGGATACCCTACCTATTGTAAAGGGGTGGTTGCTATTTGCACCACCCTTTGACCAAAAGTGGGTATAAAACATCTTGAAATTAAATTGTAAAAAGTGAAAACTTTTAATAATTAATAGGTGGTGTAAATAGTCAAGTGGCGGTACATTTTGCTATTTACACCGCCGGGTCGAACTTGCAATTAATAATTTATTAATTCAATATTTAATTAATTAAAATATTTTAAAAAAAAAAACGAAACGTCACCTTCTCCGCTGAGAAGGTAGCCCAGTGGGTCGCCTTCTCACCGGAGAAGGCGACACAGGTACGCTTCTAGCTGGGTTGCCTTCTCCAGTGAGAAGGCAGCCCAGTTGCCTTCTCCGATGAGAAGGCAGTCCTACGCCTTCTCACCGGAGAAGGTGACGGGATCTCCTTTTTTTTTCGCCTCCTTGCCTTCTCTACCGTCCAATTTTTTTTTCAATATATATTTATTTTAAATTTCTGATTTCAATACATAGATTTTTCAACTTTCTGATTTCAATACATATTTTTTTAAAAATTTATAATTTCAATACATATTTTTTAGTTAATATTGATATTTGTGAGATGAAACTACTGGTAATTTAGACGGCAAGGAATACAAATTAAACTCAAATGACTCTATATATATGTGGTGTGTGTGTGATGTATATGTCTCATACAATTTATAAGCTATGGACGGTTGGATAGAAATTTTTTTTTAGCTACAACGATGAAAATCAAAGTCAATTTCTTAGTTACAATGATCAAAATCAAAATTAAGAACATTATGAGGTATTTTTATTATTTTTTTAATTGAATTGTTACTGAAATGTTACAATTGAACTACGTATATTTGTTCATTGCTTTTATATATTATTTAGAAATATATGTTCATTGCTTATATATATATATATATATATATATATATATATATATATATATATATATATATATATATATGAACTTAAGTAAATTGAATTGAACTTACGTATTATTTATATTTTTTCATTGCTTTTATATATTATTTAGAAATTTAAGTACGTATATTTATTTTTGATTAGACATTTATTGTTTTAACATATCAATATCGAATATATTATTTTGTATTTATATATTAAGAGTTGCTATTTGTTTGTTTGTTTAGGACGAAAATGCAATCGAACTTTATGATGACAATAGAAATGAAGATGATGATTAAGTGAACCTAAATCTCGAGGTTGCATGCGAATTGTCTATAGAAATGGTAAAACAAAATTCATAAGCAGATCAGAGCTCCTTATTGATTTATATATATATATATATATATATATATATATATTATGCATGTTGACTAATAGCATCATTGGACTATATTGTTGTTGTTATTATTATTATTATTATTATTATTATTATTATTATTATTATTATTATTATTATTAACTTGTAAGTATGTAAGCAACAACTTGTTTGTATATATTGTGCTTTAATTAGTACGTATACTTAATTTCTATTTTTGTTTTTTTTTTATTTGTTGGTATACATGCATGTAGTCATTCACGCCTTAATACTCCACTTAACATTTTATAATCTTTTACCCATTGTTTATGATTATAATTAATTGATATTCTCTTTAAAAATAGATGAAGAAATCTAGTTTACATTCAAAAATAAACAAAATTATCTGTACTATTACAAACAATCTACAACATTAATAATAATAATAATAACTTTGGAAGAATGACCAGGGATCGAGTCTCACCAGCGGCAGTGTGGGAGCAACCTCTCAAAGTGAGGGGGGCTCCTTGTGCGCAGTGAGCACCGGTCTAGCCTCTATGATTAATGTTCAGTTGAGTCACCATGATTTACAACCTCCCACCGCTCTGTCGGGCCGGGGTGTGGGGGCCCTTAGGGTTGGGGTTCAGCCTTTTTTTTGGAAGAATAATAATAATAATAATAATAATAATAATAATAATAATAATAATAATAATAATAATAATAATAATAATAATAATATTATTATTATTATTATTATTATTATTATTATTATTATTATTATTATTATTATTATTATTATTATTATTAAAAATTTAGAACCAAACAAGGCAAAAAAGGTATAGTCATATATAATAGGTGATCAAGTGAACCTAAATCTCGAGGTTGCATGGTATTTTTATTATTGATACAAATAATTTTTTTATTAGGCATTCATGTCTCACGAAGATTTAATTGAATGGGTTCAAAGTAGAGGTCGGGATCTCGGATATGTTATTGTGATTAAAAGGTCCCGGAATAAAAGTCCTACAGTTATATTTCAGTGTGACCATAGTGGTACTTACGTGCCAAAAAAAATCTCATCCAAAAACACGGATACAAGAAAAATGGATTGTCCATTCCAATTGGAGGGAAAATACATACGTGTTGATGGTTGCTGGAGGGTAAGGGTAATATGTGGAGTACATAATCACGATCCTGCACTGCACCTTGAAGGTCACCCTTATGCAAGGCGATTATTAGGAAATGAAGTCGAATTGGTGGAAAAATTGCCAGCGATGCATGTGAAACCACGAGATATTTTAACGTCTGTGAAGAGGCAAAATCCGGATAATGTTTCCATCACAAAAATCATATACAATGCATGCCAAAAATTCCGGATAATGTTTCCATCACAAAAATCATATACAATGTTTCCATCACAAAAATCACAAAACTCAAATGCAAGTTGTTATGTCTTTTTTACATAACAATGGTTATGTGCATGAGAGTCGAACTAATAATGCAACAAATGAGTTAGAAGATTTGTTCTTTGTTCATCCTAAATCTATGGAGAAGTGGCGTGCATTTCCACATGTCTTGTTGATAGATGGGACGTATAAAACAAATAGGTACTCGATGCCCCTCGTCGAAATGGTTGGTGTAACTTCGACCAACATGACATTTTGCATAGCAATCGCCTTCATGCACAAAGAGAATGAGTCCACTTATACTTGGCATTAAATTGTCTCAAAACCACAATTGAGGGATGCATTACCCCGCATGTTGTCGTCACGGATTGAGAGTTGGCATTGATGAAAGCATGTAAAAATGTGTATCCGGATGCTAAAGGATTACTTTGTAGATGTCATATCTATAGAAGTATTTTGAGAAAGTGTAGGGCATCGATACCATCAAACATCATTGAGATTTATTCTACAAATCATGAAATGCATTAGTTGAGTCTCAGTCTCATGAAGCATATATATCCCATTTAGTTCAACTAAAAGCAGTTTTGGTTGACTTTTCATGTATTATTCGATGTATATTTTAATATTTTTTAATAAGGCATATTTGTTCGCAATTATTCACATTTTTAGGTGTTTTTGGTTATATTGATGATAATTGGCTGCAACCGTATAAAGAAATGTTTGCATCTATTTGGATTGATCGATATCTCAATTTTGAAAATCACACCACGAGCAAAGTTGAGATTCAACATGCCAAGTTAAAAAAATACTTGGAGTCATCGCAGTCAGATTTGGAGACATCATTGATTTATATCGACAGAGTTATTCAGTCATAAGACATATCAATCAAATCAAGTCTTGAACAAAGCAAAATTGTCATTCGACATCGGTTCAACACTTCACATTTTCAAGAATTGCATGGATTTGTGTCTATTCATGCACTGAAGCTCATTTTTAATGAGTTTGAGAGGTCACGGGCTGGCGGGATTACTTTTGAAAATTGTGGATGTCGATTGCGAACAAGTTGTGGGCTTCC